TGTGTGTATTAATATTAGTATTAGCATTAGCGTGTTATAAATATCATTGTGCTTCACATATGACCTACTGGTACGCAATTATCATATACGACAAAAAATTATTATGCAATTTGGAATGCGGTGATTTAAAAGGTTGTTTTGTCGTTTTGCGTAACGCGTTATACACTTGTTTTTTTCATGCAACTTTTTTAAAAGCAACTGAAATGATACAATTTAAATCGTAGCTTGCGATTGTAATCGTATACGTCATTTCGTAGCAGTAAAGAATACAACGTCGCGTTATTTCTGTCGGTCATTAAAGGCGCGTCGTTCTGCGACCTTTGAACACACGCCTGGTTGTTCGAACTAATACATAGAAAATATATCAATGTTACGAAAGTATTCAAAACGACACAATGAAAACAACATATAGAAATCAGCTGTTGCATTGAATTATTCACTGATCACGCAATTTATTAAAGAATTGATAATAAATTAAAAAATAAATTTCTATACTATTGAGTATAATAATTGTTTCAATTATAAGTCAAGATTTAGAAGCCAATGCTTATCATTTAGGTATTTATTATTGAAATTAGATTGCTATTTTCTGGGATAATAATAAAATACCTTTAATTCATTTTATGACTTATATAATGTAAGTTTTTAACAAATTAAATTTATTTATTAAAAATTAAAATAAGTTTAATTTGTTACAATCTAAGTAAATAATAATTAAACTTTTACAAAAATTTCATTTACCTACAAAACCTCTTATAAAAAATTTATAATAAATTATATTTTTAAATAAGTTTTTATTAGGAAAAAATTGTTTTTGAACTTATTGATAAGTCTGTAACTGTTTAGTCTACGAAAACGATTCATATGTCAGAAATATAGTGCTCGTATTGGAATGCAAAAATAATGTTAAACCAAGTCACTTCGATCTTTCAATAACAGCTATTAATTTAAGATGGAAATATCGCATCGATATGGAAAGGAGGAAAAAATGTTTTTATAATACTAGGCAGAGTCCGCTATCGATTTAATTCTCGTTCATCGTGCTCCGTAATTATCAGCAATTTAATAAGACTACGTGTCATCATTAATACGAGAGAGAAATAAAATTGGTCGATCACAGGCACGTAGTTACATATTATGACCTTCTAAAATTTGTAATCTGCGTCAGTGCTTTTCCTTGGACGGGATTCTCTTGTAATATAAGGGTCAGGGATGTCCGTGAGTTACATCCTAAGTATATTATTATACATAGAATAATTAATTTTGTAGTTTAAGGAACATATTATTAACGATGTGTTTTAACTCTGTTTATGCAGTGAGATACTATACATTACATTATATTATGCTTAAATAATGAATATAAAGATAATAATGAAATTATTAATATAACACGTTAATTTTATCGAAAAATAAAGCAATCTTATTTTTTAATAACAGAAATAATTTTGTGTTGTTGCCACCAAAAATATCTTTCTATTCTTATATTCTTATCTCTTACACACGCGCACACACACATTTTAAAAGCTCTGAGGAAATCTTAAAGTTATCAAATTAGCGAAAGTTAAGGCGCTATTGGAACGGCACATTCTTAAGATCAAGTCAAAAACTCCTCGGTTACTTTTGCCTTTGACAAATAGTTATCAAGTTGATTAGTAGAAAAAGATGTTATAATAAAAAAAAATCTGGTTTTGATTAATTTATTCTGACCTCCACCTGACCTCGCCATCCAAGGTCAAATGACTATTACTATGTTATGTCCCTCTCGAAAGCCTACAACTTTGGTCTGAAACTTTTTTTGAAAAGCTCCTTTTCGAGACATTATGTATTGAATAAAATAATCCCCCCCCTTTCTCTGTCGTGTGTATATTCTTATCTTATATCGCAGTTTGTTTTTTAATAGCATATCGCAAGATGAGCACGCAATTGCAGCTGCTCTATTTTCGTTAGATATCATGTACTTAATAGAGCACAAGACGTTTATTATTGAAGATACATTCTTGTTGTTCATTCTTGATTTAAGATTATTAGATATTATGTGTCGATTCAAAGGTTATTCGCGTTATAGCGGAGCGGACAGAAATGCTTTACGTTACACGATGTCCACTCTCGTATGTACTATCCGATATGAAATATACGTAACTACTTTAATAAAGAAATTTGTGTTGGTAGATTGCAAAATATTTAATAACTACAACTCCACACAGGACAACAAGATTGCAGGAATATTGTAAAGCAAAAATACATTGGAATGTTCGCAATGCCATTGTTCAAACTACATTGCAAATTTATGTTTCTACAATATTATACTGCACAATGTACAATGTTGCAACGCTATTGCAATATAGCTGCAAGCTTAAATTCTGCGCTGTATGGGAATGTAATAATAATAATTAGAATATAATACAATGATAACTTACAATTAAAAAATTGTTGTAAGCTTAATCTAAGCAAAATGTGACATTGTAAGATATTTTAACAACAATTATAAGTTTTTCTATAACAAATTATTTTTTAAACATGTCGAATTGTTGAAATTACTCATAAATTTCATTAAGTTACAAATTGTTAATCAGTAATATTACCATTAAGAAAAATCGTGTTTGGCAAATATAACTGTTAATTGTTTCCTTATTCCTATCTGACTTTCTAACAAGTATTCACGTGTTACAGAGAAGATCCCTCGAAGAGGAATCTTGGGAGCGATGATGTTCCTGGCTTGTATGTTCTCTTACGTCATTCGTACCAATTTATCCATAACTATTGTCGCCATGGTAAACACTACAAGCAAAGACGGTGGCGTCGGGCCAGCATGCACGGTGGCGGATATGAACAGCAATAAAACTGTCGTGATCAAAGACGTAAGTCTGCGTGCGTTATATAATACTTATAATTTATATTGTACATCATAGAATACAATACAACTACTGCGAGTATTACCAGTAGATATTTTTTCATGGTTCTTTTATCATGAAAAGAGCAATGTCCCGTAATTAGAAATGTATTTTTTCTTACATATTAGTTTGGGGAACGTTACGAATGGAATCAACATATCCAAGGACTGTTACTATCAGGCTACTTTTACGGTGTCCTGCCGGCTAGTGTACCAGCTGGTCTCCTAGCCGAAAAATACGGAGGCTCTAAAGTTGTAGCGTAAGTATAGTCAAAATAATTAATTACTGATAATCGTTCATCCACGATTATTATACTCACTTTTTACCTTCATGACTTTTAGATTCGCTACATTGATACCCGCAGTGTTAAATCTTCTGATGCCTTGGGCTGCTACTGTTCACTACGGCTTTGTTTTTGCACTTCGCTTCGTAATGGGATTTTTCGGAGTAAGGTTTTAATTTGCAATTAATCTGTACGTCTTCTCTAATTGAAATTATTATGTTTAATAACATTGTATAAAGCACATAAATTTTTACATCACATGAATAGGACTTCAGTAATATATAATTTATAGGGCGCCGTTTATCCCGCTCTCCATGCGATGATTGCTAGGTGGGTACCTCCTGGTGAGAAAGGCATGTTTGTGTGGACTATGCAAGGTACCGTTCTTTCATATTCATCTTTTTGTTTTTTTCAGGGCCGGTTTTTCCAACCTCTTGGTAAGCTAACTAATAGTTAAACTATGTGTCTATCTTTGTCTGATTTAAAGGAAAGACAAAGACGTACATATGATTTAACTATTAGTTAGCTTATCAAGAGATTGGAACAACCGGCCCTAAGAAATTTAGAAAATTTTTTCGAGAATATATGTGTACTGTTATATTTTTTCAAGGTGGTCCATTTGGAACTGTGGTTACATTTGCTTTGTGTGGCGCGGTAATCAGTGCTTACGGATGGAAAGCTGCGTTTTACGTTACAAGCGCGCTTATGTTAGTTTTTTATGCCTTGTGGGTATTTCTAATATACGATACACCGGAGTCGCATCCTGGTATCACGGAGAAGGAGAAAGCGTACATAAAGGAACAAATAGGCACGACCGTCTCAAAACAAAAGGTGTGATATATTAGTGAAATAATAAAATATTAAATAACGAAAAAGTAAAAATAAGGAATCATTATAAAATAAGCTAATGTTTATACCTTTTCTACAGGTCCAGTTACCGGTGAAAGCGGTCGCTACATCTCCACCGTTCCTAGTGCTACTATGGGCCCACTTTGCAAATATGTGGGGTATTTATTTCATCGCTACAAACGGACCTAAATACACATTGGAAGTCCTTGGTTTCAACATGAAATCGGTATTATTCTAGTCATTTTGTTTTACAGTCCTTTCAATATTGTAACACCATTTTTATCTTGTAATTACTAATGACGCTCTTAATATTTTATGTATAGGGTGGCGCAATAACTGGATTACCTTATATAGCTAGACTAGGCGCTGGAGTGTTATTCGCAGCAGCGGGCGATTATGTGCGAAGAAAGAATTTCTTATCTTTAGGCTTGATAAGGAAGATATTTATGATTTTCTGTAAGTAATTTGAAATGGTTGCGTCTTTCATAACTTCGGAATTGGGACATTGGTAATTGCGTAGAATTGGCGCAATTCTGCACATTTACTGGGACATTAAAATGTATATATCTATAATAAATTATCATTATTTAATATAATTCATAAATATGACTGTTAACAGCTCACTTGGGACCTGCAGTTTGTCTGATAGTGATGACGTACGTGGGTTGCGATGCCACGGGTGCGATAATAATGTTAATACTGGCGTTGACTTTCAATGGGGCCGCCTGCCAGACTAGCTTACAGAATCATCAAGACTTGGCACCGAACTATGCCGGTTCTTTATACGGAATTATGAATACATTTGGCAGTTTCCCCGGATTTATCATTCCACCTATTATTGGTGCTTTGACAAATGAAAGAGTAAGTTATTTTTATACACACATCAAAATTAAAAGTATAAACAAATCTTTTAATTTCTGACAATGTAAACTACTCGAGAAAGAAGTATATATGAAATAACTTTAAATATTCTTTACATTTTTATACATTTATTTTATTTATACATACATATAACTACAGATACATTTATATTACTTCTTATTTTACTTGTAATCTTTAATATATTTCGTTTCATAGAACGGTGTGGAAGAATGGCGTATAATGTTTTGGATATCGGCGGTAGTATTTATATCGGCAACGATCCTCTTTTGGCTATTTGGATCTGCTGAAATTCAACCGTGGAACGATTCGAGTCACACTAAAGTACCTACTATTTCCGAAGAGGAGAAGCGGATAAACGAAACGACGACGAAAGATGGGGTTGATACGGAAACCGAAGAAAATGAACGTCTCTAATGATTTAGAAGATGAAATAACATGAAAAAAATGTATGTATTTATGTCTGTACAAAAATTACTAGTTCAATGTCGAGAAGAGAATCTAAGAGAATCTAAATTGCTGCAAAATTTGACCTCTCTGTTAAAATGTCATACTTTATATACAGACCAACGTTTGTACAGCTTCTAATTGTTAATGCGTAGAAGGATAATCGTTAGATTATTAATATAACGCAATTTGAAATCGGAGAATGGATGTACAGAATATTCGATATAGAATATTCAATTGTATTATAATACATTTAGAATATTCACGTGCTCCAGTTACAGATACACGTTGCTAGAATATCACGACATACTTTTTGTCTTAATCCGATTAATTTTTTTAGATGTGAAGTTACTTTCTCACGCTCTTTATTTTTTACTGTTACCATATAAGACTGTGGGAGTTAAAACTTAGATTTTGTACACTTTGCGTAATTTTCAAGCGTCTCGAATATTTAAGTATTTATATGATATTACGCTTTTGTCATTTTCATACATTCGAGAGTGTCACGGTCGTGATCATCATATACCTTAGTGAGGGCTATAGAACGTGGTATTCAAACAATGTAATGTATCAAAATGTAAGAATACTCTGTAGTGCATTTTTTATTTCGTGCCAAAGTACACGTATGCTGCTCTCATTAAACACTCGAGGAAACTGACGTTATATCTAATGCTAGGTTGAAGAACCTTGGCATTGTCTTCGGGCCAATAAACGGTCGAGGTTACTCGATATTATAAATACGTTACGATAGGTACATTTAATCGTTATATATAATATATTTCTTGTTATACGTAATAGACTCTTTTTTGCGAAGCGAACTTTCATAACTGTGATATATATTGGCAGTAATTTACGCACAGCAATTTAACCGCGGTATCTGATCTATAGTCTCGATTGTCTGATGGCTGGATCATGTGCCATTTCAAAGCATCTCAAATAAATATGAAATACATTGAATACCAAATCTCGCTTTACGCAATAATTACGTGAATCCTATTAGCGTATAACAAGAAATCTTTATATATACGCTTCCCGTCGTTTACGAGCGCTCAAATGTGTACAAATGTGTAGTTTTATAGCGATAAAAGCAACTCGTCTTCTAATTTTCATTTATGAAATGCATCCGTGAAAGAGGCGACAATATCGAGGTCGAATCCTTTGCATCTAGAGAAAGACATTGCGCTCGTGAATAAGCGGAGAAGAAATGCATTACGTTCGTAGATCGTGAGAAGTGTTACTCGTACAATCGTACGTTAGAAATACGTTAGAAATTGTACGCTTGCACTGTAGAAAAGTAAGAAGTACTAAATGTGTTGTTCCTACTTTTTTGGAAAAGACGATCATTGTTCAAGTCGAATTTTCGACGCAATATCCACCGTGCTGTCAATATTAACGTTACGAATTACGTTAAAATCTGTATCAAGTATTTAGCAATAATATTTGTTGCGGGTGTCAATTGTGAAACACGATACATGAAGATTACAACTCGCTGATGTTCTAGGTAAATAAATCTTAGCGCATGTAAATGTGCGCCATAATATTATCAATTGTTAAGTTGTATACAAACGCGCATACTTTATTTATATGATAATAATACATATCTTCTCAAATCATTACACTTTTCATATTTTTGTCTTCGTATACTTTAAGTCATGACAGCATTTGTTTTATGAATTTCACACGGTGAATTGTAGCGGATGTACGCATATAAGGAATAAACGAATATATTTTGTGCGATTTCATTGCATAGTAATAAAGAAAATTATGTATCCACAAGTAGTCAAATTAATTATTTATTAAATTTTAATTAAGTAAATCTTTTGCTTTTCTTGGTTTTTATATTAATAAACAGAAAAAACGAGTCTATCAATCTAATATAATTATGCATGTTCTTATTCATGTCATCTATACTTCTGAGAAAGTGTATTTGCGTGTACTTTTTTGTATATCGGTTCTGTGAGTCTTCTTATGGTAAGAAAAATACAAAATAATATAGTTTTGCTTTCTCTATTGTAATTTTGAATTATGTAATTATATATATATATATTATCATATTATAATAATTACATATGTAGGATGTAGAAAGTAAATGAAATAGTTTAATTTTTATAATTACTGTTATAAAAATTAAATGTCTTTGCCAAAAGATTAAAGAGGTCTTTGCTTTACTTTAAGGATAAACGTCCGTATTTCCATCGGTTTCAAGAGAACATTGATTACGTTGTCATGAATCTCTACGGTTTGCCTGCTTGCTTCCTCTACATTTTGCATAACATCATTCGTCTCCGACTCCCATTGCATAGGTTTATTTTCGCTCAACAGTTGATTAGCGCCTAATGTGGTCTCTTTGATCGATTCAATTGTGAACGTTGAGAATAGATTCTGTTAAAACAAGATAAAAAATTAAGTCTTCTTTTTATTACAGAAATGGTTTTCATCATTAAATTTTTGTAATATATTGGTAATAATTGTAACAAAATATAATGAAAACTTATTAAGATTAAGAACTCACTTGAATGTTAATTTCCACAGGTTGAGACATCTGCTGTGCCTCACCGACTTCAAAGAGATGCTCCAGTCTCAACAGAATTGTACCGTCTTTCCAGGGTTCTAAGGTAAGGATGTGCACGTTTGGCGGCAATGCTTTGTTAAGACCAGTAATCTGCAAAACAAACGTCAATGAATAAAAATCTTGTCAAAATCATATTAACTTACAAACTAACTTATAATTGGTATGACAAATTTTGGTAGATTATTAAGTAACAAATTTCAAATAATCTATCGAGAGGGAAATAGTTTTCACACTTCAATTGTAAATGATGTTGTATTTTATATTTTATATAGCTACACATGGTTTAAGTTATACGTACCAATTTTTTTGGTTCAGCAGGTACGTTTTCAATATTGTTCAAGTTAGCGGGAGCACCCAAGATCCAAGAATGCAAAGCCAACTTGAGTGCCAATTCCTTCTCCTTCAATACGAATTCATCCGCGTCCTTCACTTTACCTCCAAAGAGATAATGCGTTCCTCTTACTACTAAACCTTCACCGAAAGCAGTTTCATTTAATGCCTCCGCTACACCAAACGCATCATCCTTTAGAAGTCGTCGATGAAGCTAGAAGCAATTTTATTTATTATCTATATGTACATTGTTATTTGTTTCCAAAATATCTTAAAACGTTCATTAGATTACAATAAAACGCATATGCGTGACGAGTACATTCATTACTGATAATGTCTTGTTTAGCAATAAACTCGTATTAAGACTTTTTAATTTATGAAATTAATTTTGTAAGTATAAAGTTGTGTTTAAAGAATATACTATCAAAATACAGATTTTAAACTGACTCTTATAAAGTTTATAATTTGTACAATCTGTACCTTAGATATAGCTTTATATTTGAATTTAAAATACAAATTTTTTGGCGTAAATTTTATGTAGATTTACAGTAATTGCTTTAAATAATTATATAAATTTTTTATTAATTTCAATTTTATCAGCACGCTTACAGTTAGTAAAAATAATTATAAAAATTTATCGATTAAATTTGAATATCTACCATTAATTCAATGGCACCATCTTCCAAACTGCTTCCACCTTGGGAACGATCAACAAGAATATTTAGCTTCAATTGTTTCTTTTCATCCTTGAGCGCAATTTTGCTGATTACTGGATAATAATTTCCAGATATCGGCTCCTCCAATTTTAAGTCCCATGTTGGACGATAGTTTCTCACACGCTTCAACATTTCTCTTCCATTGCTATCCGTGTAAAACGTTTTGTCTGTTTGCAGGTTACTTGTGTATCTCGTAACTATCTCTTTACCAATCTTATCTCTGAAATAAAACAATTTCTAATCATTATTTAATCGATTTTTTAAATATCTTTTCGGATTTTATAATTTTTATTAATAATTTTTCGCAAGGTATGTATTGAAATATTATATGTATAATTAAACGTAAACTTGCAATTAAAATTATAATTGTAACATCAAATATAATAATAATAATAAGTCCTAATATTAGGTATTGTATGTATAAAAATATAATAGTATTATTAATATATTATTAAAATATATGAAATTTTATAACATTGAAGAAAGAGAGAGAATTTTAAGTTAAATTTTAGAGATTTCAAAAATTTGCATTGCATAGATAAGAATTAAGTATTGCAACAATAGAAACTAATAGTACTTGACAGGTATCGGTCCAACGAGCCAGTTGAATTCGATGTGTTCTTCTCCTGGATAAATTCGAACTACTTGACTAACCCATTCGTTTATTGTATGATGGAGTTCTTGGACAACAGGACCTATAAAGAAATAAATTTTACAATTTTAGTATGCATTTATGATGTGTTATTTGGAGTAAAGTTAGCTTATTGAATTGTTTAGACCTGTGTAGATTTTATGCGATCCGCTGTACGCAAAATTCCTGGCCGACGTTTCTTTAGGTCTGAAGATATACGCGCCAGATGATCTATTAGCGAAGATTTCATTATTACCCTCTGCTCCTATGTAGTAATGGAAAGTTTGCATGACGCTCATGTTCTGCTTATTCCAGTTTATTTCTAAGTCACCATTGGTGTTAACGTGTATACTATACACCTAAAAATTATGAAACAAATTCGATTGTTATTCCAAGATTATTTAATTAATACTTACTTTATTTCTCTAACACTAGTTTTGTAATGTTATAAAGAAAGATTGTGGGACCGTCTATTAAAACAAAATTATTCGTGAAGTTTGAATTCTGATTGTCTTCGTTATAAAATATTGTATGCATGTACTGATAATAATTTCATCAATAGGAAATTAATGTATCCTTAGAATATATTTTAGTATGTTAATTGTTTTCATATTAATTGTTTAATATATTAAAAATACTATTATATAATTTTAAATTGATTAGTTTTTTAGTTTACAGCAAAAAAGAAAAGATTATTTAAACTATTTTAACAGTTTACATTATATTTTAGCCTCCGATGATTTACCTCATTACTGATGGAATTGACTGCTTGGGGTTGCTCAACTATATCTTCCTGCGTCTTTTTCGCAACGACATAAACCAGAATACCAAGAGGAGGGACATTGGAAGCACGGAAAACAACATCATTTGTCGCATTGCTTTTTCTTCCTGGTATTTTCTTAACTTCTTCGGGGATTGGTACTATCTGCACTGCTGGATATACTCCTTTAACAAAAGAATATAATATACATATATCAAAACTTTTTGTAAAATTATTATAAACTAGCCAAAAATAATATTATACTTGTAATACATGTGTATATTTGCAATTAATATATACATTCTACGTATTTTTTAACACAATATAACAAATTTAATTATATTATATAGAAATAATATTACACATCTATTTTATGAAAAAGTTATTTCATATCTACGGTATAAAATGGTATGCTTGTGATTTTTAAATCTATATGTTTGCATTATTTTATATTTTAATGTTTTAGGAACGTATACATACCGTCAATCAGTGATCGAACAGAATAAGAACTGTATTGAACGGGAACGCGAACATAGGTGGAAACAGGCCTGCTTAGAGGGTTGTACACTACAACCATGAACATGTCATTTTCCTCGGAAAATGCACACGAGCTAATGTTTAATTCCAAACATGTAAAGATCTTAAAGGACGCCGCCGTATTATTTGCCATTCCTGACCATTTCCTGTTAGTCGAACATTAACCAAAAATTAGCATGTCTTTTCAAACTTTATAAAATAACAAATTTCTGTGTAATATTTGTGCATAAGAACGTATTACATAATTATTTATATTTCGACCTTAAAAATTAAAATTAAAGTAAGTTTTGGTAAAGAATTACTTGCCCAATGGCTTGCGAAATTATTTCTCCAGCGTGATCCATGCTTTCATATAATATACGAGAATAATCGTTTGCGACTAATTGTTTTTCAGTGCCAGTAACAGCATCGTGATGCTGCATCACTCCCATTGCTTCTCGGAAGTGTTCCAAGGGTTTGTCGTGATTCTTTAAGTTTGTCAAGGCAACGAGTTGTTTACTTGCCTAAAAACAAGCAATTATATGTATTTTAAAAATGTGGCTTGCAGTTAGATGGATTAGGGTTTGGATACTAAATTGAGTTATCTTTGATTATCTTACTTGCAACAAGTTATTTCCTTCGCGTTCAAAGTATTTGACGGTTGGTCTCGACGAGAAATAGCCAGTCCAGAAAGAATGAGGATCACTAGCATATGGGAAGAAGTCATCGCTCTTGGTAGGCCAGTGAAGATTTAAATCGTTCAGGGCTTTTAAATAGCATGAGGGTGTTGAGTAAATTACGTTTACTGTAGAACCATTGCGCTGATTTGTATATCTATAATAAAGATTATAAAAGAAGTTTTAGTACTAGATTTTATAAGATATGTTAATATCTTTGGAACAACTATTCTATTAATGCTCGATAATTAATAAAAGGAAACTTTTAATTTTATCTGGCTTTGTATTATATATTTCAATTTCTTTATATTAATTATACCAATGTATGTGTGTGTGTGATATTCTATTTATACATATAACAAAAATTCAGCACAATATCTCAAACTTAGCAAAAATTAGAGCAACTGGAGGCATTTTTGAAAAAATTGAAAAATTAAAAAACAACCCTTTTACCAATTCTTGTCAAATTTAATACCAAGCATCCTTTAACGATACCCTCCACCTTAAAAATATTAGTCCGATATCTTATTAACAGAAGTCAGAACAATCACAATTTCGACATGGATACAAACATACATACCGTCATTTTTACAAAAAGTTTTTTATTGATATTTTTCAACATTCTGAGTATACTGGCAAATAAAAACTAGGAGAAATTATTCTTCACAAAAACAAAGTTCTCTCTAGGAGAAAGCAATAAAAGAAAATTTGAAATTACATCCTGTTTTATATATTAAATTTTAATTTTCCAAATTAATTGTACCAAATGTGTATGTATTTTTATGTTAAACTGCTGAAAAGACATCTTACAATACTTACCAGTTTAAAAAGTTAAAATTATACACATATCTTGCTAAAACTTTCTTAAAAAATGGATAAAAAAATGTCTCGTATCTACTTGTTACACAATTGATTTATCTGATCCAATATTTATCTATTTAATCAAAAGTTAATGAAATTTAAAGTCAGTGAGTGAATCAAATAATCTCAAAAGTAGAATTTGGCAGAAAGATTTCTTAGAGTTAGACTTACCTGATTAGTTTGTCTAAGTTACCGAACACCATCTCAGACTGTTGATAGTGAAAATCATCCCCCATAGTGAGAATGATGTGATTAGTTTTGTAGGCACGGGCTTGTTTCTGCGCATACGCCAGGAACAGCTCAACCTGTCAATTGCGCATAATTTTTACTTACCATGACACGAAGACGGCATTTCATCGTAATGTCGTAAAACCACTTCTGCCCTTCATCTGTTTCTGCCTACTAGCGACTGTCGTCCTTTGCGAAGCAACAATCGCTTTTTTTTTGCGAGCTCATAAGCATCGGACATATTTCGAAAAGCGTGAATTATAAAATTTAGGTTTTCGGCGTTAATACCTTATCAGCTTGTCCAGATTCATGAAGTACATTTCCGCGTGCTGATAAGTGAAATCTCCTCCCATCGTCAATATGATATGATTTGTGCGGTAATAATTACGTTGCGTAACCGCGTATCTCAGAAAATCATCAATCTGGCACAGAAACACATCCCGTAGATTATGATTCTCGCACAAAACGAATATGTCCTAAACTATTTGAGCAATTTCACCGTTAATTAATAATTACGAATTTTCCGACTTTATTATACTACTTTAGGTATAAATTTTTTAACTGGATCTTGGTAGTCTAATAATAGTATTTTAGTGTGCATTCTTATATTGTTAGGCTAACATGATTCACCCCAACCGAAAATGGTATCTTATCTATTTATAAAATATAATCTTTCTTAGCCTTCTATATTGTTTTTAGCAATACAGGAAAGTCCCCCTATTATGAGATAAGTTCCTAATGTGAGATAGCGGAGTTTCTGCTAAATTAATAGGCATCATCTGTTGGTTCCACCATGAATTCATTGTCCTTGGAGAGATATTTCTGTTTACTGGAAAATTGATTGTTAGATCGTGTCATCGTTGCAAAAAAGAAATTTGTGATTGAATTTGGACATTGAAACCTGCTATTTCGTATTAGAATCCTATCTCATAATAAAGGACTTTCCTCTATTATTAAAATCAAAATTGTTCCCACAATTGATAGAGATTCTCTACTAGATATTTATTATTATTTTCGTTGTTTTACTTTTTCTATAAATTTTATTATCTGGTTAATAATAATTAGAAATTAATTAATTGGCACAAAGCATCATATACCAGCTCTATTCACTGATTAATGCCTGAAACGACCTCGTTAATTTATCGTTATTTTATCGTTAGAGACCTCTAATGTCAATAACTATCACAACTTCCGCGATATTATGTTACATACCCTTTTGTCAATGTTGTAGTCGGGGCTATCGAGATCATCGACCATTGGTTCATCGGCACATAAAACGTCGAAGCAAAATCCTGGTGGTGGACTGTAAGTGTTGTACATCGCGGTCGTGAACAAATTCGCGCGCTTGCCTGAAAGCAATTGCATATTGTATATTGTATAATTTTATTCATTGTACAAATGTATTTTTTATCTACGAGAACCCATCTACAAACCAATTTCTAAATACGTAAAACTTAGAATTGAATCTTTTTCTTAGCAAAAATATTGAAAGAGATATTATTTATTAAGACTTTTCAATTTTTGTGGAGAAACTTTATAAAATTGAAATAAAATATTTGAAAGTATTTGAAAGTAAGATGCTCTGTTAAAGTATATTTTTCGTGCAACATGTAAATGATATTGCCATTTCACAGTTATTGACGATATTACGAGTATAAGCGTTGATTATTTAAAAAGTATAGATACCTCGACAACTCCGTAAAGAAAAATTTAATTCTAAATTATTAGAAAAATTCCTACCGTGTTAGATATTATAATATGTTTATTGAATCTTCCTTTTTTCCCTAAGTATTAGTTTTCGCCTTCATATAAGATATTTTCTTACCTAAACTTGGACTGCTCTTCCAAATAAATTCCATTGTTTTATCTTGTAACCTCTTACTCTTATCTTGATAATCAATACGTCCAAAGAGCATTCCATCGAATCCCATCTGTGCGAATAAAGAAGCCTGTTCTCTGGAATGGCCGAATGGGTCTATTTGCCATCCAATATGCGGTCTGGCACAGCCTCCAAACGTATCGTTCAGTCGCCTACAGATCAGCATCATACATAAATTATGATTTTAGATAACAATTTATACGAAGTGCTTTCTTCGTTATTTATTAGAAAAATATAATTAGAAAACAAAATTATTTTTACGTTGCACATATATGTTAAATTGAGAGAGAGAGAGAGAGAGAGAGAGAGAGAGAGAGAGAGAGAGAGAGAGAGACAATTAAATTATAAATATGCCACAAATCATAAAAGTAAATATATTTTTTACTTTGATCATATTCATAGAAAAATAACATTTCTCGTGTTTTATGTGCACAGAATCATCAGATACATATAGAAAGGTGAAAAGAATATCGCAAATTATTGATCAATTTTAATTATACTCAGTTTCAAGACTTTTCTTGCCGATGAATCTACCATATAAGAAAACACATATGTACCTGAATCCCCATGTAAATTGATCCACTAATGAATGGTAGTGAGTACAAGCTTCGTCGTTCATGCTCCATGCTCCTCCGATGATTTCCAATCGCCCTTCGTTGATTAGCATTTTGACGTCAGCACGTACTTTTTCGTCTTGTCGTAGCCACCATTTCCAGAAGAAAGCAGTTTCCACGTAAATAAATCTGCGAAAGTGGAAATGGCATAATGTAACATTTATGCTGTAATATATGTTTAAATATTGTAAAATATTTATCGGTTGAAATCTTTTTGACAGTAAAAGAATCGATGTTATAAATTATTAACTTCGAACTTATCATGAAGTAATGTTATCTGTATGTTATATATCTACTTATCTGTGTGATAATGTACTTTGAATGTATACGAATTTATGCGAATCTTTATCGCACGCTTATGTCAAAGACATTATATCTGAAATAATTACCTTCTACTTGGGTCAGCTAGCAGAGCTTTAATGACACTGTCGAGAATGTACTGTACGCCAGCTTTTTGGATTGTAGAGCGACCTGAATGAATACAAAATTTTCATTACAAATTTGTAAGATGACAAAATGTAGAAACGTGTGAAATTAGCAATAAATATCAAATAATAATCAAATAGAGAAAAAAAAATCTCTTTCCTTGTCAGCAGAAGAATCACAATTATTTTATAATAATGTACTTTTAGAAAGTCTCCAAGAAGTTTCTAAGGAGCTTTCAAAGCTTTTAAACTCTTTTATTACATAGATAAATAATAAACATAACAAAATCTATGGTTATGAATATTAATTAAAATACCATCATTTTATGCAAAATATATTTTGTTCTGGTATAAAGTATTTTATGGTTTCGTGTATCGACAGCAGAGGTAAAGATTATTTGCTCTCTGCCATTCATATTTTTATTTTTAATTTTATTATTTATTCTCTCAAGCGATTAGTTTTATCATTGACTTACTTCCAAAGTAATACTGATCCACAGTCTTTAACCAACCGACATCGTCGTGAGTATGTGGGACCATGTGAATGTTGAGTTTCTTCGGATCCACGGCATGGCACGCCTAAAATTAATGAAATATATAGGTACTAGACGTATTATATATTCCACCTTTCTTGTAATTATTTATCAGGTTTTAAGGTAATTATTATATATGAATTAAATTAAATCATTGAAAACGCATTCTCATTATTGCGGGGCAGATATTTATGGACGGAAAAGTAGCATAGATGTTAAAAGCAGAATGACGACTCGCATCGCGTACTTAATTAACCCAATTAACAATTAATTTGCGTACCTCATAGTCGCATTTTTTGGTGGCTGCTGCATCTGGCGTGGTTCGTGGTATTCGCGCCGCATTGCCGGTGGCGAGAAAATGTGCGAATGCCAGTGACAGAAGAAGAAGCAGAACTTCGTGTCGCAACATAGCGAAGATCGTTGCTTCTTCCGACATGCAACGTACCTAACTAATGAGATAATTGAAGCTGTCACCCTATACTTATACTGTTGACGGACCTCGCACTTATGATAGCTTGCCGCAGCAGATAAAAGACGATACAGACCGACGATGGTCATGAGCGCAATGGCGTAAGCTATTGTTCGGTTCGAAACTCTTTGAATGCGCGCATTAATTGAGGAAAATAGTATAGCTTGATATACTGTTGTAAATGTGTTTTCCGATAAAAAAAATAGATATAAAAGTATATAATATATAATAATATAATAATTTCAAAAAATATCAACCTAAAAATAGCATATCGTATTATCGTTTTAATTAATTTTTTCTAAAAATAATAACAATATGGACCAGTTTTCCCAGCTTCTTAGAGCCAGTTTCACAAACGTCGGTTAATTGCTAACCGAAGGTTAATTGATTCTACGTCTCTTCTTAGACAACAAGATAGAAAAAGATACGGAGTTGATTGAACTCTGGCTAACAGTTACCCGACGTTTGTGAAATTGACTCTTAGTGAGTTAACAGTTAAATTATATGTCTATCTTCGTCTGACAATGAGTTAAAGGAAAAACAAAGACATGCATATGATTTAACTATCAGTTAATTTATCAAGAGGTTGGAATAACCGGCCCTAAGTCTTGCCAACTAAAATACAATTTACATATACTATAATACTTTTATTATCACGTTATTATTAAAATCCGATAAAATATGATGTGGCTTTGCAATATAATTGTAAAGTCAAATACAAAATAACAAGAAAAATATGTAATCGTTTGTTAAAAGACAATTAATGTTATTATATTAATTGAGGACAAGCTAAATAAAAACAAGATTATTCTCTTCATCATATTGAAAATATGTTAAAATATGAAAATTGGAGAATATATGTGATATTCAAATGAAAAGATAATATTCTCTATAACCTATAAAACTTACCTAAGTATTACAAAACGCCAACTAAGTGGTTTAATATCAACTAAGCAGCTCACGTAGAGATATCCAGTCTATCTTACCGCTGGCAAGTGTTGCAGCGCGAAACATGACCGTCTATTGACCACTTCACTCAAGGTCTAATATGTCGTTTCTTGCCATACATTCCTAACATTCAAACATTTACGTTTTATATGATGGTTTCTCCAACTTTTGTATATTATTTTCACAATTAGAATGTTTCTAAGAAATGGATTTACTTTAGGATAAATATACATATACATTTCGTTAACACTTTTCTGTCACTAAAAAATATCTAAAATTTTATACATATATATATATGTATATATACATACATTAACATGAATAATAATATCTCTAGATTTTATGAATTCTTATTTCAATTTTCTATTATTTTCTCTTTCTAGTTCTCTTTTGTTTTAATTTCATATCCCTTCGGTATAGAAAAATATATTAAAAAATTTCTATATCAAAGATTTAGAGATAGAGATAGAGAGCTAGAAACTAGTTTCTTTTTTTAACTTCTTTCTTATTTCTATATTTTTACGTTATTTTTTAAGACAATAAAAATATAAATTAATAAATGTATAATACACGTAAAATTTCAATAATTTAAAATAAGAAAATAGTTATCAAGATTGAAACGACAAAGTTCCTAAATAGTAGTTATTTTTTCAGCAATAAAATAGAAACTCTCTTTCTTTTCACGTTTTATGTACAAATAATACAAATCATATACGTTCAGACTTAGATATAAATAGTTGTTATCAATAACATCAACGTAGCAAAACAATGTTGACACAAACTTTCCCCAAGTAGTGGAAAAATTTATATTAATAAAAAAAATAAGGAAAATAGCTTATCTAAAATTAATGATATCAAGTTGATATCTTGTTTATATTTGGAAATGGGTAATTATCGATAGATAATCGTGTATTATTACCAGATATTTATCACATTCAAGTTTCATTGTCTACTCTTGAAAGAATTGACACTGTTTTTGAAATTGTTACGTAACTGTAATTATTAACTTTTTAAAAGGATTTTTTACAACATTTTTATCTGCAGAAAGTAGATATACATACATCATACGTAACCACAAGTGGTACCATCTATGTTTTTTAAATAATTACGATTCAATGAAGTTACAAGATTAAAAAAGATGATTGAAGACGAAACATAGCGCAATTTCGTCTCTGTATAAGCTGAATTATAATTTTACTGTTTATAATCTTACCTCATATTAATTCAACAATAAATCACGTTCCGTACGCGTGTAAAATACACATATAAAATTCGAAAATACACAGAACCAATCCAGCACAGCAAGGTTTCAGCAACATTGCAGTAATAATTTATTGCAAGATTGCAACATTGCTTAAACGGTGCGAAATGTTGCTGCAACGCTGCTGCAATCTTGCAGCAACGGTAAAATGTCCGCCTCTCTGAAATATTACAATGTAATATTACAGCAACATAGCAATATAATGCATGCATAATATACAAGTATGTTTTCTCGAAGCGCGGTGTGCTTCACTTCTCTTTTAAATTCATAGTAAATGAAGATTTGCAATTTAGAAATATACATTTGTATACACTAACTATTGAAGTACAATCTCTAATCTTAGCAGTTAGAATTTAAGTAACAATGATTTTTGTTCCGATACATTTTCTCGATTTAACAGAATTAATCGTTTATTTAATCGGTATACCAATAAGTCCGCAGAATGATACACAAAACGTAGTAACAGTCATGGAGCAAAGTAATGTAAAATATTAAGTACGGAATTTTCCATTTCGTAGGCGGGACAACGAATTCTCAACGTCTTTTTTGTTGTTTTTCACTCGGCGCGGTATCGTACGACGTTACGCGGGCCAAAGTTTACCTGAAGGACACCACGCTCTCACTCGCTCGCCGAACGTCGAGCCGGCAAGCAGTGTCGAGAGTCGCTCCGTGCGTGTTATTATTTTTGCGTTATCGGTTTCCAAGACTCGATCACGATGAATGCAGGGATAAAACACTATTGATTTGCACACCTTTATTGGTAACAATTAACATTCCTCGATTAATTATTAAGTTTCTACAACTTGTAATGAGAAACGAATTGCGTGTTGAGGCGACGACTCTTTATCAACGTATAGATATTTCACGAGACTAACTCATCTAAATTATAAATGTAAACCGTGGTATTTTGTCGCGTTACATCTCGTTTACGCACCGCGCTTTTAATTATTGTATCTATCGATTTCGTTTCAAGGATTAGATTAAATGACAAAGATTGTAAAATATTGTTTCGTTACGGACTAATAACTACTTTTTTACTGCAGATTATGCTTCCGATGCTTGTGTTGCCTTTTATATTGCCAATTCAAAAGTGATTTATCCATTCTTCCGAATAAAAAATGCAAGTTGTTAATTTGAATAATTTGTATAATATGATAGAAAGTCACGCGATACCTATTTGTTAATAGCATTTCGTGCGTTTCGCGGTATTTCACATCGCGTACGGGAGTGCCGGAAATTTTGCGCGATTGATGATTTTCGCGAGTGAGTGTTGTGTAAGTGCAAGGAAATCTGAGAGGAGGAGGAGGCCCAGGAGGCATCGGGCAACAGCGGAGAAATCGGTGAGGTGAGTGTCTTACATTTTTATGCTATTTGCTACTTTGCTTGTGCAAAATAAAGTATCTGTTCTGTATTTTTATTTTACTTAGTCAAATGATTCGAACGAGAATTCGAATAAGTGTTAAAGACAAAACCATACGTATAAAATTTGGTCAGTTTATATTTAAAAGGAAGACTTTTTCAGCATTCTATATAATTATTTTTATAAATGCTTTTTTAAAATATAAAATATAAAGTATATTTGATACATTAATTTCAATTTTACATGATTAGTTTATAATCATATGCATATTTGTATTGTTACAGTTTAACATATATACCTAGTTGACGGTGTACAATTGTGCTGTTGCGAGTCGTATCAATGAGTGAAAAATTACTTTTTATTTTAAATTGACGTTGCGCGAACAATTACTTCTCTTTGCACGTGTACAAATTCTTAAAAATGTACAATGCTGAACTACAAATTGCGCGCGCGAAACGCGCGTTTTGTCATTTCTAGTAAACTATAAAAATGATATGAGGAAACAATATACATATTACAAACATAATTGTATCAATATTTTAAAATAATATTGCTACAACATTACTAAAGTAATATTGTAAAATAATGTCTCTGCAATATCTATGTACCATTACACTGCAAGATGCAATGTTGCAATCTTGCGGCAATGTTGTTGCAAGCTTTTGTGTTGTATGGGAAATAAGGTATAAATAAAAATGACGGACAAATCATGATAGAAATTAGGAAAACAACATATTTATTTGCATAATATATACTAAAGTAAAATGCAGTAATGTAACACTTGTCAAAGCATGAACAACGTTAAATATTCTTAATGAGGGATAGAAGAGGTAGAAGTACACCAAAGCAAAACTTCAAACATGTCGCGCATATAGCGCAATCATATCGCGATACGTCTATTCAAAATGAAGTTTGAGTGATTTGTAGACCGTTGATTTAAATCATGGTGCTGGTGAAAATGAACGCAACAGTGAAGAAAACATATTCCAATGATTCTCTCGTCGATACCTCGAAGAAATTTGACTTACGATTGATCTCTCAGTACCTAGAAACAAAATTAATTTAATACAATTTTGTTCCTTTAAATTAAAAATATTAAAGTCCTATTTTAATTATACTTTTTAAAATTATTAATAATAAATAAATATGTGGGTAAAATACAGATAGTATTGTATAAAAAGGAGTTAACTCTATAAGTAATTTTTAACAAATTATATTTAAAAAGACAAAGAGTATGTTATATTTCCAATTCAATTAAGTTATTTGTAAATTTTACAAAATTAATTTATTTCGAAACTAAAATCCTTCTTATAGTCTCTTTTTATAGTAATAATTCACAGGAAAAAACAATACTTCTTGTCGACCAATCTGGCAAAATTAAATAGTTACGACGTTTCGATATTAATTTATTTCTGCATAATATATGCATTATACATATACACTGTATCCTGGATTATCCAAAAAGAGAGAAACAGAGAGGGAAAGAGAGAAGATGAGGGAGAAAGAACGAAAAAAAATGTGATTTGATATATGAATAAAATAGGACAATTAATTTCTTTCCAAAATTGTGAAACACTTACCGATGCGTAAACGGATTATAATTATAAAATTTATCGAAGTGTGTCTAAAAATCAGAATACATAATCTCTTGCGGTTTTTCGAATTTAATAGGCCGATAGACTGTGCATGACTGATTCCATCCACGCGGCGCTGTATTGTAATTTGTCAGATTGTGAAGGCTGGCCAATTTCGGTCCAGTATAATCATTATTTTCGTAGAGTTTGTTTCCTGAAAATTGCAACATTAAATATATAAATCTACGGATATAAATACATTATTGGAAAAATTATTCGATATTGCTAACTAATATATAATAATCTAATTTATAATTTTGCTGAATTCAATTTTTAACACAACAAGGACGACAAAATGTACACGGAGAGAATTTTCTCTTAAAATTTTGCCTGAAAATTATGTAATCGTGGGACAACACGGCATTTCGAAGAATTTTATGAAAGTTTTTTGAAATTTTACCGTACGCTTTACTAGTAATTGTACTTACAATGTTGTTAGTAGATATATAGATTACAAACTTGTTAGTAGATATTATATTAGTAAAATGTGTGGTAAAATTTCACAAAACTCTTATAAAGTTCTTCAAGATGCCATGTTGTTCTACGATTACATGATTTTTAGTGAAATTTAACAGAAAATTATCTCCTTACGCCAATTGCCGCGTTTTATTGCTACGAATAAATATAGATACCATACATATTTTATATATATATATATATATAATTTAATAGCACAATTAATGCATTAATCCGTTTGCTGCATAAGGTTTAGGAAAGATCGTTAGAAATCGTTTTTGTCTGTTTAGCATGCGGAAGCAATGAACGTCAGAACTACAAAAGCGCATGCGTATTAACTTGCCTAATTCCGGGTTAACGTCAATGAGTTTGCATTCTGGCGTGGTGGTGCCTAAAAGATTATCCAAAACCGGCGTGCTACGCAGATGTTTCTTAGTCTCGAGTATATCCTCCTGCGAGGCGACCATCGAGAGTATCAGCGACTTCGCCTCGGGAGGCATCTCAGCCTCAGTGTTGACGAATCTCTGGTCCGTGCCGTTGGCATAAAGGGCCTCCAACTCCTGCGAGGTAGTCGAACGACGCCGAGTGCCCGAGTACTCGTCCTCGAATGCGACCGAGTACTCGCTGCTGTCACAGCAGTTCAACAGGGCAGACGGCGCGGAATTGCCGCGGCCTACAGATCCCGCCTCGTTCTGATAATCTTCGGAGTCTGTGTCATCTGTCGTGTACTCGCTCTCGTCAGTGGAAACGTAGCCGTTGCACCGGGATTGCAGTTTCGCCGATCCTTCGTAGTTCTCGTGTACATTGCATAATTGGCCATTGCACTGGGACTGCAGTTTCCTTTCGTAGCTCCCACGTGTGTCGTACAATCGGCCGTTACGCTGGGACTGCAGTTTCGCGGATCCTTCGTAGTTTCCGCGTGAACTATATTGAATAATTGATTAAAATGGGTTCTGAATTTCATTTCGCCGAGCTTTGATCTCTTGTGTCTAAAGAGAGATACACTACGTATATGACTGCAATTGGTAGTAAACATATAAACGACAGATAACGTAGATTTCGTCGAACCTCGTTGAACTACGCAATATGAATGACATTTTGTATCTATCACATTTGGGCAATTAAAATATTACTCAAAAAAAGTTATTACTTAAAGAATATACAGACATCAAATTAACGACTTCCTCCAACGTTTACGTCAATCATCAGAGAATAATTTGACTAATTCTGTCGACCGAAGAGATAGAATGTTATCGTTAAGAACTATTAAAATAAAATAGTAAAAGCTTTTCTCTGTTAAATCATAGTCGAAGTATCCTTCTCACCGCGCATATTTCTCCTCCTCGTTGTTGTACTTGATAGAAGTTTTCGTCTCGAAGAAACGTGCTATGTCATTATCCAACGGACACTGCTGTACGATTGGAATGATCTTTGGACTGATCTGTTTGTATTGCAGAACTGGTCTACAGGTTTTCTCGAATTCTTGTATCAGTTGCTTCACTGGCACAGGCGTGTACCCGTTTTCCTCATTGTCATTCTGAATCTGTCTCTCGTTCTGCTGCTTATTCCCGATCTTGTTGCCAATCACGTTATCGTTGTATTTGTTATCGAAACGCTGTTGAATTCTCGTGTCTCTGCCATGGTAGCTCCACGCATTGCACACGTCGGATTTTCTCGGCGACTGATAATTGTTGTTAATATATCTATTATTGTTACTCGCGACAGCGTGATTATTGGCCATGTTAGTGCGCCGATTGTTAGTAGATTCGAAAACAGTACGACGGGATTTTTCGACGATGGGCGACCGAGAATGATCAGAAGGAAAATCGGAATCTGTGCCCACCGCAATTTCCCGCAGATAAATCTTTTTTATCTCGCTCGAGTGGTTGCATCGGTTAGCGTTGCAGCGCCTGTCTGCAATTCGCAAATCAAAATTAACGCAGAGCATAGCAGCTGGAAAAAGCTTAGAGGATTTAGCGTAAAATATTTTCTTGACAATAATTAAGGGTAATTAAAGTTATAGGATTTAGTATAAAATTTTTTTTTTTAAATAATTCAAAGAAAACTACATATGTACAGGGTGTTACAGCGACATACAGGTCAGTATGACGGGTTGCCTGTTGTACATGAATAAGCAACCCATCATACTGACCTGTACACTTGAAAACATTCTAAAGATGATAAAAAAACTGTGTAGTAAAATCTATAAATAAAACCTAATTTAATTGCAATTTAATTATTTTATAATAAGATCTAATTACCTTTGGGAAACAAGGCCTTATGTGTATACAATACAATATGTGTGTATAAAAATAATATATAATCATACTGTTGAATTATTTTTTCGTATGAAATTGCTTTTTCTCGATTTTATATATTTCGATTAACACTATATAAATATATTCTTTATTTTTGTAAAAAAATTTATGATTTCAAACTTTTCTTCTTTATTATATGTATGTCTGTTCTGATGCATTATGTGAACATCTAAATATTTTTAATGTTTCGTCTGCTTGGCAACATATATGCTTCAACGTGTCATGTTATCGAGAGATTAGGCGTTTACCTTGAAATGCACTTAAACTCTGTATTATTTAGATGTTCAACACGATAGATATCGAAAGATACGGGTTTTTGTTTGTCTCAAGATATATCGCAGAGGTGTCAAACATGTTTTCCATTAATTAAATAATATCGATAACGATTGCCATTTACAAAGTCAAAGATCGTTCAACTCGAGCTTTAAATGCCCGGTCTAACATTGATCTCTATTTTGGAGGCGTATCAAATATCCTTAAATTTTAGAACACTTCCTGTCTTATGTAAATCTGATAGAAAAAGAAGAACGAAAGTTTTCTAAAAATTCTTCTATTTTATTTATGTAAAATTAAATCGTATTTGTTTCATCTTTTTTATTATAATAATCGTTATAATATTTTATATTAAATACTATTCTAGCTATTCTTATACGCATATCACATATTTTATTTTGTATTACACATATTCTGTTTATTAAAAAAATAAAATTTAAAAGAAAATAAGATATAAAACGTAAAACGTCGTAAAAAGACATCAAGAGTCTTGAGAAAAGCGTCAGGAAAAATATAATTTAAAAATTCTAATTACATAGTTGTGCAGTTTCGAAACAGTTCTAGTAATTCTCTGCACTGTAAAATAATGTTTTTCTTGAAAAAAAGGAATGTTATGTAAATATATTGTATACATATAATGTCAGGCGACATTATGTAATGCTAATAAATTTCGACCTCGAATCTCGAAAGATTTTTGATGACATTGATATCCGCTCGTAATTTTACAACGTCTCAGAGAGAATAGAGAAAATAGGCCTCGTCGTTTGCCAACGGGCTAACTCTGCCAAGTGAGATCACCTCGCATTTGAAATTATTATTCTCTTCATTATTGAATTGTGTTTACGGTTGGTTACGTCATACGCACCTGTTATCGGGATATTCGCAGTGTCGAGAGAGATATCCACTGTAAAGGGATTATAAAATGACTTGTCAATGCTTGAAACCGGCGTAAGAGGGGTCAGCGATGGAGGTGCCATGAATTTTGCGTTACCGTTAATTTCCTGAAATTACAATTGTATTCTTTATAATGCAAAATATTGTCATTACTTTTCTAAAATTATGATAAAATTTGTTCAATTTTGTTATACAACGAAACATTATGAATTTTCTATATTCATAATAAAATTATGTTTAATCCGTTACAAAACAAAGTTTTCTTTGAAATTAAAGTGTTAAATTATTTTGTTTCTTATTTTAAGCTTTTAAAAGTATTATTCGAACAGGATTTATGAGATAGAATCGAAAAATTATTCTTCTATACGGATAAAAATTGAAAAATACCCAATAAGAAACTTGATTACTTACTGGATATGTTGGTGTCTTCGGTGTGACAGGCGTATTGGGGGTCTGTGGCTGTTCTTGGTCCACCACCCACTTTTCGGATCTTTTCCTACGTTTCGCAAATATCTCGGCACCTGTGAATTGTTTTGGCAACTCTATGTTATATGCATATACATATATAGCAATAATTTCGTATTTAATTAAAAACATTACATTTCTCACAACAAATATGTGTTTTATCATATAACATTATACTATATTATATTATGTTTATATGAAATGAAATATTATGTAACGTTGTATATTTTACATATAATTTTAATATTACAAATTAGCTTACATCATCTAAATGCACGGTACTTACCGCGTCCTTTTTGATTGTTCAAATCGCGGACGATATCGAAGAGTTTCTCAGGATTTTTCGGTACTGACGCGATATTGACTTCTTCACCCAATGCCTGAATGCCATGAATGTCCAGTACTTTCCCGCATGGATTCATCACGCATTTGAGGGGTAGTTTTTCCTATTAAAAAGATGTTTTATTTCACAGTAGGTGCCTGCACAAAATTCAGCTCGTTACGTATCCATTACCTTATGAATCGTCGTAGTCGATTCCTCTTCGTCTTCTATACCTGCGAAATATTATCTATTATATCGCTGTACGTTGTACACTGTACATCATGAAGAAAAACCGAAAATAATTGCGTAGCAATTTGATGAAAGTTAAATCATTTTTGCAGTGATTTCTCATATAATAAAATGTTACAAATATCACAAAATAGATACACGAAGAACGAGAGAATGGACTTAAAAAAATTTTAAACAATTTACTTCATGTTACATCTAAAAATTTCTTTTTTGTTAATATCACTTTATTGATAATAAGATCGATAAGGAGTATTCTTCTTTCTCAACTTTTTATGCTTATTCTCTATTTTAATTATTTCACGTAATGTGAACATACAAAATTCTTCGGACGAGAACACGACAGAACTTTACAGAATGCGATACTACAGATTTAATATAAAAATTAATTAATATAGAAAAAAATTGTTACTACATACCATTGCCGTCATGGATCCATTTAACAGATCGTTTTTTCCTATTCACATACATGGACTGTCCTTTGCTCTTTACATTTTTCACGTCGCTGAGCGAATGCGAAATTCGACGTGCAAGCTCGACCTGATCCTCGACCGTAGGATGCGTCGGTGCGTAAAAGTACGAGGATGCATACATTTTCTCTGAAAATGAATTTGGTGTTTTAAATCTCAATAAATGCGCATCTATTTCCTCTGGAAACTTCAGATATCATATTTGAGTCAATGAATTTACCATCCCAAGGAAATTTCTTAAAATATATTTTATCATAAAATTTATTTCTATTGTTAATTATATCAATAAAGGAACGTACTACTTTTTGATTGTAATAACTCTTGAGAGTCTGATGCTGGAGTGAGAAGCTTCTGTAAATTAACCGGGGTAGTCTCGCCTTCCTGCAATTAAGAAAATAATTGTTGCACAAATTCATCGATGAAACAGAATTTATACCATAGGAATATGCTAGATTATAATATTAATATCCTAGATTATAATTTTGTTTTGTCCTAAAATTGTCTAGCCAGTTTATTATTATGTTATCCGCGTATATAGCCAATTTATACTGGATTATTTTTTCAACAAAAATTACTGAAAAATACCAAAAAATTATTGACAGCCTTAAATTACAAATAATTAATAGTAAATTTTAATAAGTAAACACTTAGAATTTTGAAATAATTAACTTTAAGAGTACATTTGTACTTAAAAATAGTTAACAATTCACCAGTTGTGGGCTTAAATTATATATTCATTGAAATTGATGTCCCTAACAAGATTATACTATAAGACTTCGAAAGCCTTAAGACGTTAAGCCTACTTTAACGTGTTTCTTTTCTTAATGTATCTTCCAAAGTTTTGCAAATTCAAACGACTTCACTTACCATGCCGAAGTGCAATATTTTTGAAGTGAGATTCTCAAGGAAGTTTCTTTTAACCGGATCGTGTCTATCGGATGGCTTGTAACCGCGTGAACGTATTACAACATTGTCCGCCGATACGCTACGCTGCAGATAGTTCTTCTCCTGTAGAGATCCGCTGTATTTCAAGCTGCACTTGTATTCCGCATCTTTGGTGCGCGTGAGCCCGTATGAGGTGTTGCTCAGAGCGTTGCGCTTGGCGTTAACGTGTCTGCGGACATTTGAAACGTTCGCAACGCGATGCGGATCCTCCATTTACGCAAACTCTACGAGATTTCGCGATGACCGTACAAATGTTGAGCCCAACGGAAACCGCATAAATAAAGAGAAACTTTCATAATTTCGTCGAAGAGCGGTGATATTATTGAAAGTTTATCTCAAATAAGAAACATAATAAGCGTAAATCTTCTAAATAATATTTCATTTATAAACTTTAAATGATTTTAAATTAAAAACTTTACTTCAATTGTATTACTTGTAGTTAACTTATCGTAAAATCTTATTGCCAATTACTTTCTTAGGAAAACATTAACTTTGTTATGATAGCAATAAAATTTTATATTTTGTAATTATTGTAATTAAAAATGATTATCTGATTTTCCTCAGCAATACGTTATGTTCGTCAATTATGCCGCGTTTATCTGGCAATGGTATTGCTAGCAATGGGTCTGAAAAATTGCGATAACAAACCACATGATCTCCCTTAATTAAAAATTTGCTAAAGTAACTTTTGCAACTTTTTTGACGCTTGTAAGAAGGTAAACGCGAAAATTTTCTAATTTCAGTGAAGTATGTATGTCGTACAGAAGGTATTTCTACATTACAAAATTACAATTACTATTCTTTCCTTGATCGAGAAAATCAATTATCAATTCTATAAACCATTTTTACAACCAAAAGTCGTACGAGTTCATTGAAATTGTGCAACTTCAATTCTTGATCTTGAATTTGCGAATATTTGCCGCGCATTGTGTTAGTATCTTGTTGCAAGCGGCAGAAATATATTTAGCAACATAAACGTGTTTAGTGCGCAGAAACATCGTGTTCAGCCGATCTTGAATCTTCGATAACTGACCAATTACGAGATTTACGAGAGAGAGGGAGAGAGAGAGAGAGAGAAATGTGAGAGTCTGGTGCCCGGGCCGGCGTGCCATAGAGCTCGACGAAGCTTTTTTGACTACGAGAATTGGTTACCTTCCAAGCAGCCAATTAATTCCGCGTCGCGGTATTGGCAGTGGTACAACGAGCTCTGTGTAAAAGAAACGCTAAATTTATCTGTTGTAACGTAATACGCAGTAACAGTTCGAAAGCAGTCGCTCTCGTCGCGCACGCGATCGACATCGTATTCATTTGGTGTTGCGTAGAAAAGCCCGGCGACAATGCACAATAATGCAATGTTACTTTCGATAGATAAGTAATTAGCTTTGTTCGGATGCAAATTATTAAACGACGTATACTTACGTTTAATAAGCGATCGGTAAAATTGACTTTTGCGATACATATCTATGTATTTTAATATTAATTAAATGTTTGTTCAATAAAATTTATATCAACGTTAACGTACATGTGCATTTTATTCTGTTAATTTGCGTGAGAAAAAGTAACATGGCGCGGTTCAATTCTTACAACGCAATCGATACTTCGCTTTAAATAGATTGTTTGGTGGAAGTTTGAGAGTTTCTTCGAAGGCTGTTCTCGCGGCACTTGGTACACCGAAATTTCGAGAAAGTTTTAACTGGTCAAACTGCATTCATTATTGACAACTTGGATAACAATTTCTGAACGTTTAATTCAAGAGAGCGAATCGGAAAGGAAGAAAACATGCGCTTCGAAGAAAATTAAAATTCATTATCACACGGAATAGAATATTCACAAATTACAAATTGTTAATGGTTTTGAAGATAATACTTTTACTTCTTCCAGCAAGTCAATTATAAAGGGCTAGTAAGTTATTTCGACATCAAGTTTATAAACATGAGTGTTTAGAATAACTCGTATAACTGTCAACTTCGATTATTACTCCATAATTTTGTCAAAATGTTTCTGTTTATTTAAAAGTTTACGATGACTCTTTCTCCCCCTCTCTTTCGTTCTCTCTTTCGATCTTGCTTTCTCTCTCTCTCTCTCTCTCTCTCTCTCTCTCTCTCTCTCTCTCTCTCTCTCTCTCTCTCTCTCTTTCCCTCTGCTCCGATATTTCACAACATACTGTCATCACACTAAAATTTTTCTGTTACGGTTGGAGGACACGGTCACAATTAATCTAGCATTCATCAGTCGCGGAAAAATAGCCACACTGATAAACACAACTGACATTTCTGACACCACGCACTCCCTTCGGGAAATTTTCCCTCGCAAGCGATAATAAATAAAAAAAAAAAGATAAAGAGGGGGAACGAAAAACCATGACTCGGATAAATTGCACACTCTCCCTCCCTCTCTCGTCCCCATTCCCTCCCGGATTGACATTTGCGAACAGTGATTTTACTTATCAAACGATGCTCTCCTCATCGCGACGCACACGGTAAGTAGGTCGTCTCCCTTCTTCGCCTACACTTTGTTTTCCCTCTTTACCCGCGATTTATTTTTCCCACGGCTTTACGTAATGCGCGACACCCCGGTGCCCGCACACACGCACACTTTGTCGGAGATGATCAGAGTCCGCCCGAACTCGACGACGAGGGCTCCCTCGCCGCGGCAGGCGAATCTCGCATCTTGCAAAACGCTCCCTGGCACGCACCGGCCGTTCACCAAACGCGAGAGGCAAGCGTACCAGAAGGAGTCGCCGCCGCTGCTACCGCCGCCACCGCCGCTGCAACGCTTAGGAGCCAACGACTATGGGACCGGCTCGTTGATGGAACAGGGATGAGAAAAAGGGAATAATAATGAGCGAAAGAGAGAAAGAGAAATGGAACTTATTTTTATATCGAGCAAACTGCGAATTGTCGTGGATCTTCACCGGATATCTCGCGGCTCTAGTAGCAGAGGGATCTCTCCCGAGAGGAAAGGTCATTGCCCGAACGCGGTATCGGTACGTAACCGATAACGCGATCGTTTTTCGCCTACATACGTGAACGGGTATATCTTCGGGAACGGATCGACCGTGTTGGCGAGAGAGAAGTGTCACTTCCGTGGTGGCGGAGGCCTCTCTCGATCGCTTCTCTACGGCTCTACGCTGGCGCTCTATCGAGAGAATCCGCCTCGTGCCCTTCTCTTCACCATGAAGATCCGTCCGAGATCGTCGAGCCCAGCCAGAGGGGTCCGCACTTATATGCGATGAATTACAAACACGGCCGGCACACACGGTGCTTTATAATAGCGTCCAAACCGTCGTCTATACAGCGCCTGCTTGCCGACTGGCTTGGGACGCCTTTCGGTAAAAATAGATCATCAGAAAGCGACACCTCAAGATTCGAGCCGAGCCAACGACGGCCTGTCCGTTATGGTACGTCCGCGTCCGTATGGTGTCGTGTACACAGCAAAGTACTACATGTACCTGGCAAACACCTGCGGGTCACCAAACTGCGAAGACATTTAAAAAGTACGCCCTTTACCGTTTACTTCGTCTTCCCCGCGTCGGGAAAGAATTATTTCGTAATTATTGCATGTTAACTTTACACTGAGAAAAATGCCCGATTAAATATCGGATAATCCAATTGCATAATAACAAACGGATATAACCAATTAAATTGTATATTCGATGAAAAAGATCGGTTTTGCAATCAAATTTCATCGGATAAATGTCGTCGGATGTATCCATAATTTAATCGGAAAAGTTAACCATCGGAAACACTATTTAATTGGTTTAGCTGATGGAATTTTTCTCAGTGTAAAGATAAGAAGACCTATTGCAATGCATTTCAGGATATAAACAAATTGTAAAAGTATTATTTCTCGTATACATTGGTTTGTGCATGTACGTGATGATTAACCCCGAAACAATCTTGCATCTATGTATATTTATTTTCAATCGTCACTGTGTCATCGTTTTTTTCTCTCAATCTTATTTTCTCTTAACGAACCTTCATTCTTCCTATCGGCTATTTTGTGTTTCTCGTTTTTCTTTGACTTCCTCATTTTACTTGACAGTTTTTCCATTTCCGTTTCAGAGATTCTGTTTCTTTCATTCGAAACTTAAGTTTGTCATGTTCTTCACTTTTCTTTGCATCTCCTTCATGTAGCTTATATTTTTTCAATTTACGAAAAAGAAAAAGCGCTAAAAGTAGCTGTGAAATAGAATTTTATTATGGCTTATTATATGTATATATACTGATAGTCTTCGCTTTACTTTCTCGTGGAAAAAGTAGAAAAACTCTCATTATATTATATGTCTGAATCACGTAATATCTAATATTTCATGAGATCTAATTCTAACATCAAATCTTCAGAGATCTTAGTTAGACCGCAATTGATATAACTTCGAACATTCAAGAAAAATATCAGATCTCTGAAGATCTGATGATGTTAGAATTGTATCTCACGAGATGTAATTAGATTACATGATCGAGACATATGTAATGAGATTTTTCCATTTTTTCCCAGGTAGAGAAAATTAATCTATCTTTTTTTAGATTTATTGTCACTTTAATACTTATATTAAATAATAGATTATGTAATAATACTTAAAATTTTGTTGTTATTTCAGTTTGATACAGTTTCTCTTTTTCTTAATTACATATTTTTAGAAGCTGTCCATAGATAGTAATTATTATATGACTCCAGACTCTACACATGTTTCCAGAAATTTATTCCTGGTAATGCTACAAAGAAATATTTACTACGATTTAATAAATGGCTTAAAATAGAAAGTAAAACTCATCTGTACTCTCTTTTATTTCATATGTCGTATTGAATGATGCTGCACTTCTGTTCTGCATGGAAGGCCTCTACAACATGTGTAATAATAATTATTGATTTACAAATTAAAAATAAAGATGCACAGTTATCATTTAATACCGGTTAAAAGAAAAATAAATTAGGTACTGCAAACTTACTTTTTCGTTTGTATTGCTTTTTACAATATTTTCAGCAATTACATAATAATCTTCTTTTTAAAATTGCCTTCCAATCTTCTAGCTAAAAATCGCTATTGTTGCCAGTAATGCCTGTAAATTTATAACAAACAAACTTTTATCATTAATTTTAATCTAGGAAAAATTATTTAGTATATTGTAAATTGTGAATTTGAATTAAATTAAGGATGAATTACAACAAGATTAGTATTTGTATAATTTTCTGATCTCTTATTCTTTTATCTTTAAATAAAAACTAAAAATTTATATACATATTATCTCATTAATAAGACATAAATTCAACTTTTCTTACCTGCAATTTTTGTTTCACTAAAGTATTCATGTATCATGTATACACACTTAATACAAGACGTTTATATAAATACAAGTTTACTTTGCAATTTCCACATGCTGAGATTAGAGACTCCAAATCCCAAATGATTCCAAACTGGGATTCTCCGATCCATGCATGCCTCCTACTGTTACTATACGCATGCGTATATACTCACAGTTGACCACATGTGATTGTTCTGACAGACACGTAACACATTTTGAAGCTAACATCTTTTATGTTTTCCCTACTAGTGTTTTTGTAATTAAAATTATTTTGTATTAATTTGTTGTATTAATTAATTTTTTTCCTTATTTGTTATTAATGCCATTTTGTTAATTATTTCAGTTATTTGAAATAAAGCTTTTTAGTAATATTTTTCTTTTGTTAATATTTTTTTCTAATAAAATTATTATCAAAGTAAGCATTTAAATTTAGAATTTTTCTAAAAATTTTATTTTAAAAGAAATATTGATACTTTAGACAAACAAGTATTATATTTAAATTTCTGTAAATATATATTTACATAAACTTTCGACTTCCAAATCATTAGCCTCAGGCTCCGAAAATTTGCGATTCGATTCTGCTGCTACCAAAGCAATGATGTCATCACAATACATCACTCAGATAACATTTTATGCTTAGCACGTTTACGCATTAAAGTTCATGCTAAGAATTGCATGATCAGCACAAATAAATCCAAATCAAGATTATCTTTATTCGTTCTGGATACTTACTAAGTTTAATCGAAGATACGGCATTGTGACTATTTTTCATCTAACTAAACATATTTTGCTATTCCAGATTAATTTTTTAGCTTTCCCGACCATTGAATAATTTAAACATTTCAAACTTTAATTTTGGAATTTTTAATTATATGGACTTTTTAAAGTCCCCCAAAAAATATCTAAATTCTGATTCGCAATATAATTGTGAAAACAATCGAGTCTTGTGTCATTTAAACATGCATGAAAACGACATTCCGTAAAATCTCTTATCATTGAGTACCACATGGAAGGGGAACACGTTGATTATGCAGCTTATATGAACCTTTAACATACTTGATTGTAGATCTCTCGTGTCTGCGTATCTCAGTATCGTAAATCTAACGAAAAGTGCGTTCTACGAAAGTTGATTTGGAATACACGAATGACTCCTTGATACACTTGTGCGTTCTGTAAAGATTACTCTTCTTCATAGAGACATCGTTATCTATAACGATGCCTCTAATTATGAACATGTGCCAATGTTCTATTAAGTGTATACGGCAATTAATGTGCAGTCGATTAATATGCTAATTGAATAAAATCATTATGTTGCTTAATCTACGCATTAAATGCTTGCTAAGAAAGTAAGTTTTCTGAAAAACTTGTAATCATATTTAATAAATGTGTGTCTGCTTAGTATTATCTTTTTTTCATATGCATAGTATTTTTTCTTTTAATGAAAAAACTCTATATGAGCATATGATAACAATTAAAATAAGAAAGAACTTCTTTTGAGATACAGGCAACCAAGAAAGTTTGTGCGGTTTTTAAAACTGCCGCTACTTCTCGTGCTGTAATAATTC